ATAATCAGGAAAAAAATTGCCAACATGTATCATTGACATTGCACCGAACGTTGACCTAACACGTCTGGGGAACAAACAAGGTTCACAATGAAATATGTAGATCTATGCTGGTTTGTTTCATCACTCACTCACTATCTGGTTTTCCGGGCAAAAGTCTCTCTGATGACCCACACCTGGCATCCAACTGATACTTGCCCAGAGAGACGGTATAGAGACGAAACGTAGAGTATTACCCAATTTCCATGCGTGCACTGGTCACCCAATATCCATCAATTCAGCAGGGATAATTCATTCTGACTTCAAACATGTCCGCTTCTCCTTGCAAACCAATATCCAATAGTTCGCCGCATCGAAGTTGCGACCCCGTGGCGTCAATGTGGTCACCATGAACGGCGTGGAACGCTCGGGGGAAGGACAGAAGATGCGTAATTCACTCCAAAAGATTCAAGTGAGTATCAGACCGCAACATATTGCGAAATGTGGCATTGTCAAGTTTCCTGCGCCCTTAAGAGATCGTCTCCATCCAAGTTGGTTTTGTATCATCGACCGCTCGAGCGATACTCGGAGCTGAAAAACCGAGTCTCACGCCGTTCACGCGCGCGAAAAAGGAACTGGCTGACTCGATGGCGGAGTATTAGGGGTGTTTTGTTGACAACCGGTATCACAGGGGAAGGCAGAAGAGCACTAACGACTAGAAGTGACCAGCAGCAAGAACAACCGAATTGGCACCTTCTTGTAGGAACCCGTCACCAACATATGATGAGTGGGAAATAACTAAACGTAGTGTGGCACAGGTTTCTCCCCCCCATGACCAAATTATCGTGTTTATATATCATGCAACCTGACTGGGCCCTAACGGTTTGGCCTCCACCCACCCACATGGTCGCCCACCGTTGATATACAACCAACCAGACTCGAAAATGTCTCCGCTCGCCAAGTTCTTGACATCAAAAGGGAACTAGCTTGAAGAGGACCAGTTCAAGGTCTCGTCTGTTATTGATCCTTACGCAACTCTCGTGCCGTACAAACGCGACACAGTCACCGCCTTACTTGTGAACATGTTCAAAGCGCGATAGAACACCAAGTTTCAAAGCAACTGTATACAACGCAGACGTGCGTCAGTCTCTATGAGAACATCTTTCCGTCAGCTGGAACACCAAAACCGTAGCTTCACGTGTCCAGAGCCTCGCGACAAGTGCATTACTTCGACAAATTGTTCGGTATAATATGCAACAAATAGGACTACAGAATTGTCTTCTACTGATTGTACTCAAAGAGAAACCAATGATATTACTACGGCATCGAGCCAGTCGTTCAAGAACGACCGTCGACTCAGCTTTTCTCTGCTTTCTCTGGCAGTTGGCGCTGACGGAAATGATGCTTGTTGGAAACGCTGATATCGCGGTGACTTCTCCTCGATCGTCCTACTCGGCGCTAGCGGCCGCCCGCGGAGGGTCGTCTACACAGAGATACGGTGAGCAACCACTTTGAAGGATCGACACCGCCGTACCCCGAAATGCGCCCAAAGCTAGTGTTCGGGATGAACTATACAACTCTAGTGGTGACCCGTAGACGAAACTGGAAGATTCATGGATTTCCGCGTTGATGCCGTGGTATCCAAAACACATACAAGTATGTACTTTGTTTTCCTACGAAACAGTCTGTGCACGCCATTGGACACATCCGTAGGCGTCCGTGGATGTCCACGCGTACGCATTGACACGTCCGTCATCATGAGCACGAACACTCCAGCAAACTTCCAACCACAAGTCTGGGGACGCGCTTCCTGAGATGGGCTTAGACATGCCCTAGCACGCGGACTCCCGTGTGCAGTCCAAGTTGGTATTGTACACAGACAAATTGTTCATGAACAAAGGGAGGTCTGCGCCCGCGCCCTCGGACATGCGTGGAAGAACAAAAATTTACCATGTCCGCGGGTACTTTATGTCGAGGTTGAACGAACTCAGACCGCTCATCAACGTTCTACAGCGTCCATGAAGACGATGTAGACTATATCCATCAAACAAACGGTCCGTGGATGTCCGTAACTGTCCATGGAAAAGTTCAAACAACCGGTCCGTACATGTCCGTAACTACCCATGGAAAAGTTTGCGGCGGTCCGTGCAAGCATCCATGAACGTCCGAGACCGTCGACGGGTGGGTCCACGGACGCCCACCGGGCGTGAAAGAGAACAAACCGTACCTTGTTGAAAAACATCAAGCTGTCCCCTTCACCTCAGGACTCAACAAAACAAAACTATTCGTGGAGAGGACAAACAATATTTTTGATGTTGCGGGTGATATTTATTATGCGCTCGAGCCATCTCACACCCTCACTGCCTTCGCTGGTTTACGCTGATGACTACCGTTGCTGCCAAGAACCAATGACGACCAGAATGACGACCAGGTGCTACCTATGCGCTCTTCGTGGCTCTGCTTCCTTGGAAAAATACAAGCCAAAGGCTGTGATCGGAACCGCGAGGGAAACGAAGCACAAATGCTCCTCACTGGGTACACGCACCGTGCATGCTGTTGTCAGACCTTTTACTCCTGCTGAACTTGTTTGGTTCATTGTCAAGGTCTGTCTCTCGCTTTCTGCCTTCGTATGTACTTGAATTCTGCAGGAGGGATTTCATGCACAGAGCAGGTCAACGAGCCGGAGTTTCACTGCCTCGAGTGTGCCAAGAACGAGTGGAAGGTGGACCAGGTCAAGAATCCCACCGAGTGGGACAAAGTTTACCACCTTGTCGAGAGCAATCGAGCACGCTGCAAAGGGTAGACATAGGTACATACAGTATCCCGTCCCCTAATAGGATTCACCGGCATCCCACTTTGAGAGAGGGACTTGAAACATGGGCACCTTCGTGCCTACCTCATTCTAGCAGATCTTCGTATACCATCCTCTGTTTAGGCCGGGAGCAGGGATTGTGCCGGATATTGTGGTGGCACGAAAGTTCGAACGTTCCGGCAAAAGAAGAGGGGACATACACGATCGTTAATATATACGAGGGGAAGACAGTGACTGGCGCGTGGCAGACGTGCCTTGCGGAATTGTTGCCTCTACTTCTGTTTCTGCGCCCCCCCTATTTCCTGTTGAGCATTCGCGGGTCGGACTACTGCGTGTACTATGTGGTGATTTGATTCAAGACACACAGATCGTTGGTTCAGCACGCGGGAACAATGAATCGCAGTGCTCACTATTGTGCTGCTAAAACGTTTAGACAACAATCCGGAGGGGGGAAGAACAAAGTTCTGCAGGTTCCGTCCTACCCAAGGTGTAGCATACTTCTTCTACCTTCGTATGACTGCGGCAGTGACAAACACGTTACGCATAAGCTTATCGGGACGAGCTATGAAGGAAGTGTCGTGTTCTGCAAAACTTGGGGCCCTTCCCGCTTTAGTCTAGCGGTTGAGAAAATATTCTTGTATATCTACTATTTTACTGTCGTTCGGCTGTTCTATTTTCTGGATAAATAGCCGCTGGAAGTCTTTTGTTGCCATCAACAGCCAAACTGGGACCACCGCCCTACGTGTGTGTTCATCGCATCTGCTCTATATGTAGTCTAACGTCTTAACTCACGGTGTGCATATTTGACTTAGCTATCAGCCTGGGTCGCACAGGAGGAAGGTCACAATGGGATTCGTCAAGAACTTCTTCAGTTGCTTCTCGCGAGAGGGTTCAGCCGTCGCCTGTTCCTTCCTCGACCATGTAGTCGAAGGTGTTATATATACTCAGCACGCAAGATGTATCGTTTTGAACGCAAATTGCAGAGCTTTTATTTTCTCTCCTGAGAGATAGTCAAGCTCCGACGTTGGCTGTCTAGACATTTACGACGTTCACCACGACCTGCACAAGGATAAACTTGTAGTCATGCGAACTGTGTACCTGCTACACTTTTTCATATGTACTGCTGTACTATGTAAACGTAAAGCGACCACACTTCGTGATTTACAAGCAGTTATTAATATATCTTCGCGTTTCATACATGCGCGTTTTGTACTTGCATCGCGTGCCAAGCGGAACAGATACGTCTACATTGATACATATATTTATCTGGTTTTGTGCCTCGTGAGGTGCATCAACGAGCTCTCCGACCGCGTTATGCTACATTAACACTATTACTGTAAGATTCCAACCCGGAGGGTGGTCATAGTAGTCTACGTAAGTTTGTCGAAGTAGCAGAGACTACGTGCAGACTACACTACTTTTTTTCCTGCCTGCTGTGGTACATTTTGTGTAGCTGCAGTCCTTGTGGCCTGGATATTACGCAACCATGAATGACTCGTTTTTGCTAAACGGCTGTCTGTTTGTTTTCTGGCCTTACTTTTTCGAAACTATGGATACCAGCTACTGCTGTACGGCAAGAAGACTGCCCGTTCGAGATGAGCCCCCCCAACCGTTTGGGCGTGCCGGCCGACGGTACGAAAAGATCGTGATGATGAGATAGATAGACTAGATGCATGATGTCGTGATACGTCGACTGCATCAACCGGCCTTCTACAGCTGTATCACGCTCACTCTTTTAAGGCTAGAGCCATGTTTTTTGGGGACAAAGGGTGTTCACTCCTTGTTGACCACCCCCTTTACCACTCTCGGAGCTCTTCTGCAACTGGCAAGCAGGTCACTTGGTGTACTCCAATCACGCGGGACTGTTGAATAATATCAACTCAAAAAGGAAGTAGAGGGTGGAAGACATCGAAATTGCGGTATGCATCTGTAGCATACACGCAAATATTACCATTCGGTACACGTTTCTCATGTTAACGCTTCGACGGCATGGGAATGTGGAATGTGCTGTGTTGCAATTCACTTCGCGCTGGGTGCGCGCCGCTGGCCCTGGCGGCCGCAGAGAGCGGGGTTCAACGGATGAACTGCGCTAGACAGTAGGTACCCTCTCATGTCGACTTTCATGCGTGCATCCCCTTGACACAGCAACACCAAAAAAAGACAGCCAATACACAAGACGACAGAGCTGTTGCAACACGCACGCCAGCGCAATATGGCAGCCCAAATCGACAAAGAAGAGAATGCGATCGTCAGCGTCAGCGTGCTTAATGGGAAGGTTGATCCTTTGAAATGGTGAGTTACACTGGAGAGTGCTCAGCCGGGGAAACACAGCAGTGTATTTAGTCGGGAAAACAAAGGCAGCAAGCGTCCACAAATGCTCCGCATGACATTTCCCGCCTTCAGTACAATACATACGTAGTCTAGAGATGATCCCCCGGTGCACACATATTTCGTGGACTATATGTATGCTTGCGGCAATCAACCCCACGGAGTACTGTGCGATTTGAAGGATTCCAATTACAGGAGGTCTTGATTTTGACTGATTTTCGAATACGGCTGAGGGAAGCATCCACACTCTGACAGCAGGACTAAATGTACGCGCTACCGACCGGTGGTGGCAAGTTTTGCGTAGCACAACATCGGCAGTTGGCACACAGAACAGCGCTTGGGGCTTGTGTCCAACAGCACATCGCGTATCCTACCTCCAAACCAACTTCTCTCGGATCAACCCAAAGCTTCCAAAATGCCAAACTCAAGACAAAACACGGCGAGTGTGTTGTGCTACCTGTAAGCGGAAACCCGACCGTAGGACATCTAGTCTATACAGTATATTTGTAGAAGACATCATGGAGCAGCGACATGCGCACTGGCACGCCCTGATCTATCGCTGGGGGCCGTGCTGTCGAAGGCCGCAGCTGTGGTCCGAAAAGCCCGCCAGATCTGGGCCCATACCATACACGATCCATTTGTGGTGTGCGCGACGCCGCGGACCCAATCCCTCGAACTGCTGGTCTACTGCTGCACCAATCTACAGTACAACAGATCTCACCACTGCAGTAGCGGCCTTATGGCGAATCGTAGTCCGCGGGGGGCTGGTCTGCGACGGCGCGTACAGCCGTGGATCGTGAATGGTATTGGACCCAGATTTGGTGGGACTTTACGGACCGCAGCTGCAGCCAAGGCCCCAGCACCAGATCTTGGGCGTGCCAAACGGGCATGCCGCTCCTCGAAGATGTTCTCGTTCTCTTGACTGTTTGGCGCCCACGCTCGTTTCTTCGGGTGTATTTTTCTTCTCTCGCATCCGCTTTTAGCTCTCGCTCGTTTCTTTTTTGCGGGGAAGGGAAAGCAATTCCCGATGGGAATTTCGCCAGAGGAAGCATCTGTACACTTTGTTGGCCCGCCCCCGCTGCCCCTGTGGTAGTCTACAGCAGGCGTTCGAAACAGAAAAGCGTTCGACGGGCCTTGTATTGTTTTGTTTTGAGGTTGCGTTCGTTTGTACAAATGCATGCGTTGCACTCTTTCGGTCATTGGATAATACTTGTTCTGTAACAAGCCCATGCAAAGTTCACCGATGCCAATCTTGGCAACTCCGATGGCATCAATAATGGAGCAGGTAAATGGTGCCGAATCAGGGGGGAATTTCCTTTCGAAACGCATGTCTGTATGCACAACCCTGGAAACAGAGTTTTTCCCCCCGGTGTAATCCTCGATGTCTGTGCTTGGCATCGTCGAAACCCAGGGGCACGAAGGTGTACGTAGAGGTCAGACTCGGGGATCTACACGTACAGCGGCTCTCTCCCGTGAGCGTGGATCCCGTCACGGGGGATTTCTCGTACGAGAGCGCTACGGGCAACATCACCGTGTTCAATGTGAGCTGTTGTAGGTTGTCAAACGCTGTGTATTCACACGCTGTGCATTCAATGGAGGAAGGCGTTGGAGGGAAGTAGTCCATGAAGGGGCGCAGAAAAAAACACAGACTTAAGGAGGAGGGGCGGGCATGAAGAGCAGGACCACGGGGGGCGGAATGCGTGTGCTTTGGGGGGCGGGGGGGCCTGTTTCAGCGCCATATCACTATTTCGTCTCATATATGTGTGAAGTATAATCGCTACGTTAGCTGTCCAACGCTTATGTACTTTGACTATCCGCCGTCGCATGCACTCACATAGTCGGTAGCAGACAACCATGATCATGGCAGGAGAGCAACAGACCTCCTGCTTACATCGTCCCCGTTCTGCTGGACGCTAGCATCGACCTCCCAACCTCTCGCGCAACGGCAGCGCACCACCTGTTGGAGAGGGACGGGTCTTTCTATCTCCGTGTTTCCGCTTTGGTATAACTTGCCATGGCTCGAGGCCGTAGGTTGCTCGGGATCGCCATCTGACCTCCGCCGCCCGTCAAAGCCTGACCGTGTTGACACACCCTCCCCTCCCCTCAAACCCTGCGCGATTTTTTCCCGACAAACACACCGTTCATAAATGGTTTTTCAGAGCAACATCCTGGAGGAAATCTTCGACGAGACCTTGCACATCGTGCTTCGCTCGTGGCACCCCACCTCGAACTGGGTCGATTCCGCCAAGATCCTCATCTCCGTGCGGTCGATATCGATAGATTCAACGGTCAGACCAACGGGGGTGGATATGGGCGATGAAAGCGGAGAGGCAGATCGCGACTTCATGGTGTTCCGGCTCGAACCCGTCCCGGGCGGGGACAGCTTCCAGACGGCAGATGTAAGTACTACAGGTGGTTTTTTGGCTCGGGTTGGTGGTTTTTAGGCGGGGAAAAGTTTCGTCATGTGGTCAGCCATTCGAATAATACTCTTGAGATCCATGTTTCCTGCATTAATTTTTTTCATGTCCAAGACCGCCCTCTTCTTTTTTCGCCCGTGCCGAATCTTGGTTCTCAACAAAGGTATGAGAGGTCAAGTAACTAGGATCCACAAGAGATGTGCCCTCTCCTTCCTTGCTGCTTTCCACTTGCCTCGTTTTGAATGTGTGTTCGGTACCCTGATTTAGAACCACAGAGGGACTGAACGACTCGCATGTGGCTGAGTGACGATCTTTCTCTCTTCCACCCTCTCCCATCTTCCAACTCAACCCCAACCAAAACGAGCAGGAGTCCGTCCCGAACCTGGTGCTAAGCGCTACCCTTCGGAGCCCATTCCGTCCGCCTGTGGAGTCGGTGGCGCGCTTGCTACAAGGGTGCGCCTCCACCGTGGACCTCGCGCTCGACACGGTGTCTCTGCAAGTGAGTACTTTTACATATTGTTCGTGCATACAAACGAACATGTTTTGTGTGAACTGCAGTCTACAGTGGTGGCTACGGTTTAAGAGAGTGTCGTGACAAGCGAACATCTCTCATCCGGTTTTCTCTTATACCGTGTTGGCCACGGTTTAAGAGATAAATCTCTTAAACCGTAGTCAATTCAGCTACGTCCGTTTAAGAGCCATGCTGTTTTGCCGAAACCGCCGGGCGAGGTCGTGGAGGGCAAAAATGACATGTTGAGAACGTTGCTACTGCGTGCATAAGCGCCTTGTTTGTGCTCGCGAGAAGTACCGGATTTCGCAAATACACGGAGCAAAAAACAGCGAGAAAAACAAAACGAAATAATATGGCATTGATGTACCGCGTAGAAAACCTCCCCATTCCTACGTCGGCCTCAGCACTCTCTCGTTCCTCTGGGCATCGTTAAGTGAAATCCCTCATCCAAGTCTGCTTTGCTTCCCTCGCTGCGCAGGGCATGGCGTCTGCAGCGGAGGTCTTGTGTGGTCTGCGTGTCTGTGTGGCTCAAACTATTTTGGCTACGGTGTAAGAGAAACGAGAGGGATAGGGCAAATTCTCTCTTAAGTCGGCGTGACAAGCCAATTTGACTCTCTTAAACCCGTACTTTCTCTTGAATAAACTCTCTTAAGCCGTAGCCACCACTGTAACGGAGGGCACATTCTCGGGTGGGGAACCTGCGGTGCAGGGAATGCTTGGGGGGGAGACGTATTTTGATTCTGGTGGGGGACGCACGCAATATTTCTTGCCCAACGCCGCTCTTGCTCCGAGAATTGGCGCTCTAGGCCGTCTCCTTCTCGCACGGCTCAGGGCATGCTTTTATTGTGCGAAGCCGACACTCCCCGCACCCCACCCACGTCCGCACGCTCGCGTTGATTTTGACTTTAACGCGAGCCTTTTGTTTCTTTCTTTCTTTCCTGCTTGCGTCCTTCCTCCTTCTCTGTTATGGATCTGTGTCGTTCCATCGGATCGCAGACGGAACGCGTCGCTCCGTACTTGACCAGCCAAGCCGCCCTCGTCCCGACGATCCCGGCGGGGATTGTCGTTCTGGCTTCTCTTCCCTTGCTCTGTGTCCTAGGTCAGTTTTTAGTCTGCGATGCATCTGGGAGGGTGGCGTGTGCCAGCAGAGTTTCGTGCGTGTTGTCTCCGGCACTTTTCTCCTCGGGTCTCTGGTTCACTCTATGCCTACCACAATTCGCTGTTGTGGTAGTAGCTCGGTTCCGTGTGCGTTGCGCGCCGTGTCTTCATTCATGCGTATTTTTTTGGTGCCTAGCCCTCTTGTCTTCCTGCTAGGCCAAGAAAGTTGCGCTTTGCTTCATGTGTTGGTGGCGGCTTTGTTGTGTTGTACGTGTCATCACTTATCCAAGAGAACCGCTTGCGTTGTCTTGGTGGCATGTTTCCACATCGTGCTGATTGGCGACACTCCGTGCGTTCATCCGTAGTCGCAAAACTCAGCGTGGCTCCACATTTGGGTGAATGGAGTTTTTTTTGTGGCCAAGCGCTCGTGGGTTGCCCACCTACCTTCCGCACACACACCCCGCTGTCGACCCCTGATCTCGGTGTTTTCGAACGTGCTCATGCGCTCGTATGTACGTCCACCAATGTATCTGTCATCGTATCGCGCATTCAGGAGTGGCGGGCCTTCCTCTTCTAGTACCGATGTTGATCGTCGTTGCCGCCGTTGGAGGCGTCGGTGCGCTGCTTACGGCGGCGGTTTGGCTCTTCAGCCGCGGCGGGCGGGCGTGGGTTCAGCGGGCGGTACGGCCCGTCTACGACAGGGTCGGCAGAGATAACCCCGAGGCGAGTCAGCTGAGAGGCACGATAACGCCCGATCGAGCGGCTCGTTTCCGTTTTCACTACTGCGCATCGCATGAAAAAGGAATGAATGCGTCTTGTGAGTGGAGTTTCACCCCCATGAACATATCTTTGCGGTTGACACAATGACTAGTTATTTCGTATGCGTTGTCTTTTTCCCTTGGTTTGTTCGTAAATGAACGTGCGCTGGTGTGGGTCTTTCCATCGTTGTGTGTTTTGACATTCGCGTATGTACAGGTTCTCTACCCTGTGGGACCAGGACCGTCCCCCGCACGCATCGCGCAATGTCTGGTACCGACTGGAATGTGGTCCAAGCTAGCGATGTCAATAGCGGTCGATACAATCGGCTGTACCTCCTACATTGTTCCGGTGAGTTTTTGCATCCAACGGCGAATTGCTTTGATCGGACCCCTGCAGCCTATTCTTCGCCTTACCATGATCATGAAAGCACGCAAGCCCCGAACTCGACACATTTTCCGCCCATTCCTCAAGCCCCTTGGTCTCACCTGTGAGATAGCTTGAAGTTTCACGTGTGGCGTACTTTGCCTCCACGTGTCACGTGTAGCAGAATGCTGCAGTTTCCCTCAGGAGCTGCATAGGTTTTGCACCATGGTTTGCGGACCAAGCATACAGTTGTAGCGAATCGATACCTGGTGCATCCTGCTTGCTTTTTTTCCATACCCAAGTCCCCCCGGAAAGATGCAAATTGTACAGTAGCGCTTCCTTCAAGCGATGAACTCTTCATTTGTTGGCTATGTAGCTTCGTCATGGGTCGCGAGCACTCACACCGCAGAACGGAAAAGCTGTTCGATTCCCAACGGATAGGTCGAGTGAGTCGAGCAACGATTGAGTCGGTTCGAGAGTGCAGGTCCCACACCGCGATTCGGTCCGATACGAACTTGGCTCGAAAGCCGCAGTCTTTCACAGAACATGTTCCGAATGTCCCGTTCATTGTTGGGGCTGTGCACCTTTTCATGTACGAATCTCTCCATGTCTGCAGAGATCTGCCGCTGACACCAGCTAGCCGCTGTAGCTGTTCACACAGACATCTCAGGCTCTTTCCTAAGCAAGCATGAAGGAAAGCTGTGGTGGCGCCACCGCTCCGGCAGCCGTATATTTTACCGGTCGGGCTGGCGTGAACCATTCATTGTGGCATGTCAAAGTCGGCTTGAAATCGAGGAACGCGTCTAAGGGCAAGAAATCCACACGCGAAAACACTTCCCGAGAGCGGCGAAGCTTGAAGTGATGTCATTTTCTCCCCATGGTTTTTTCCTTCTGGCCGTGCGTCGCTGCACAGGCTTCACGATCTCCCCCGTGTGAAAGACGAATTGATCTATTCTGTCCTTTTTGAAGCCCCATCAACATGGTGTGGTTTTTTTAGTTTCCTCTGTGGGGGAATCCTTTTGCAAAAATATGAAAAGCAAAGACGGTGGAGTATGTCACACCCTGACATTCACAATCAGCATTCCACGTGGCAGGAAGGCCTTTCGCCTTAACGCTATCTTGGCTTCTTGTCATGCAGACCAGCGCCGACATGTCGCATGCCAAACGCCATCGATTGCACATGATGTACACGTAGCCAGACCTCCAAAAAACGTGGCATGTTATCCTGCTTCTGCCCTGCGGCCGAAGGACGCTGACAGGCGGCCGGTTCCGAAGTTCCTCTGGTGCTTTGTCAACCTTGCGCGTATCGCACTTGTTCTGCCACCGTGGCTTGCAGATTCTGGGCGAATCGGCCGACCTGCTATGGGCTCCGGTGTCCTACTTGCTCATCGACGCCATGTACCATGGCTCAAGCCCGTGGGCGGGGGTGAGGGCGTTGAGAGTGTCGTTTTTTTCGCAGCGGTAGGGGGCAGCAGCGTCAATCTCCCCGCCTCTCTTGTGCTGGGAGAGTGAAGTGTAGGGAAACAGTAGTGTTGTGGGAAAGAGGCCAAATGTTGTTGTGGATACGACCGCGCCCGTGGTGCGGGTACCCAGTAGAGCGAGCTTCTGGTTCGTGTTTTGAAGAATTGCTATGGTGGCTGCTGCTGCCCTCCCCAGCGGAGTTGTGCAACATTCCGGCCACACCACACAGAGGCTCTTCTTGAATACGTGTTCATTTTTTTGTGTTTTGTTCGCCTGCTGCGTGCCTGTCTTGCGCTTGCTGTCCGTTTCCGTCTGCGCTTGGAATAGGTGTTCGGCGCAATGGAAGAGCTCCTCCCCTTCACCGACATCATCCCCACCGCCACCCTAGCCTGGTGAGACGACGTGATGCACACGGCACACGCACGAAACCTGGTCATCACCGCAGAGCACTGCGCAACGCCTGTTCGGTGCGCCACGCCGAAAGGGATTTTCTCACCCCCTTCAATGTGTTCTCATATCTTCGTTATCTGCCTAATTTTTCCATGATTTCCGCATATGCCGGTCCTGCCAGCCGGTCGGTTCGTGTCGTCTTTGTGCCGGATGCACGGGTAAAATGTTTTGTGCAATGCAGGATGCGTCAGAATAGCTAAATCGTGGTGGGTATGTCGTGCTCTCCTCTCAGCACTCGCGCGAGCGGGTCTCATGGCGGGAGAGGCGTCTGTCGCGCTTCACGCCAGACCTGTGGCGGTTGCTTTGGAGCTCTTCATCATGCTGTTGTGCCCCGAATGAAAGCCCTACGCTATGTACGCCCCTTACAAGTTCCGTTCGCAGCAGCGCGTGGTGACAGGTGTGACAACAGGTGTGACAACGAAACACTCCTAGTGCGTCGGTTACTCGCGCAGAGTCCATCGCGGACAAGTGTTTTCGACAGGATCTCATGAGTCGACCCTCTCATCCGTGCCCCTCGCAGGATGAAGGAATATTTGCCGCAGATGCTGCAGGGATTGAGCGCCGCCGACCAGAACCGGCAAGAGCAGCACGTGTACCACTCCGACGACAACGTCGGGCCGGGTGGTGTGCACTTCCCGAGCCAACCTGACGGCGTGCGGTAAACCTCTGAGGTGTGCCTGCGTTGCTCCGTGGAGGCGTCGTTTGTGGTTTTCTCGCTGGTGGTGTTTCGGTCCTTGTCTTTGTTATTGCTGTGAGATGAGGTGAAAGAATCATCAATCTCGATCTGATGGGTGCTGATGTTTGGTCGTTGACGCCTCAGTGTGTGCACCTCTATTTTGTTTCTGGCAGTCGTTTACGGCTTGAAATGTACCGGTGGTTGCGGTTGGCTGTGGTCAAAACGCGTTTTTCTTGTTGGTGGCTTGTTTCAAGAGGCGTTCACAGGTGGTCGAAATTTCTGCCGATGGACGCTGGGGGCTCGTGCAATTGACAATGGAGATGTGGACGGATATGTCCTTGCATCAAATTTTGTTTGTAAATACGCATAGTCTATGTAAGTATCGATGCGGTCCGGGGAGGGGGTCCGGGCGCCGCTACAATTTTCACGCAGGAACTATGTTGGCAGGCTGGAAAGAAATGAATCTCGGGTTGGGGGTGCGCATCACTTTATTATTGTTCGGGTTGTAACGCTCGGCAGATCTGCGTTGGTGCGTTGCATGGCCTGTTGTGTAGCTCTAGAGGTAGGGGCGTGTCTAGGACGGTGCGTCGGTTGTTCTTTTACACTCTCGGTCTTGTTGGCGTCCCGTCGGTATTGTCAGGGATACAAGCAAGCGGGGTGCGCCTGTTGTGCCGTCGGGAATTCTTGTGTAGGGGAGTGAATTTTGCCCGCCTCATCAATGCCACAAAGCGCTACTATATTTTTGCGTGTGTCGAGCGTGCACTCAGTCGTGATTTACACCAGCTACATGCACCTCCAAGGAAGCAAGTACCCTGAGCGGGTACATATGCTTCTGTCGAGGGGAAATATTCACTCCTTCCAGGCGAGGTCGTTCGTACCTCCTCAAACGTGATTTTGTGGTCTTCCCCCTCCCCAACTCTTGCACCGTGCACGGCCAACCAACAAGCGCACCGCATCACGCTGAGGGTCCCGGTACAAAGCCGGATGCTATACAGCCGATCTCACCGCCATTATAGCGGACACAACCGGCATTATTCAGAGTTGTGGAACGACTTGAATATTCCATCTGTGCCAGACGATTTCACCTCAGTACATCGGGCGACCGGCATTTTTCCGGACCGCTACTGTAGATGATACCTTCGTGTTCAAACACCCACCACTCAAGAACTCCTGCAGCAGCCCCTGCGAGGATTCCGTGTCTGTAGCGAACAACAATGAAACGGCGCGACGATTTTGGGGACGCTTGTGGGGGACATACCTTGTAAGACCGTGTTTTGGCCCCTTTTTGATTTTGGAAAATGATGGCCTTTGGCACGACTTGTTGGACAGCATTTGAATGAAAAGGAATCCGGACACCGCCGTGTGAAACGGGCGGAGACCGACCAGTCGCGATTTCGGCCCGCAGAGGCGAGCATCAGTAGTAGCATGAACGTCGATGGCGTACGTGAGGGTTTGCAGCAAAGAGGAATCCTGGCTCTCAAAAGAAGGTTGTGACCGGAATGTCGCCTGGTTTTGAATGTTACCCGAAGAAAAATAGAAAGGTTGCGGTTTTCACTCGTTCCACATGAAGGGCAATCGCGACATACACAAGCATGCCCTACCTCCCGTAAACTCCCTCAGGCGATTCTGCACACACGTACGGCCAGCCCTGGTCACGCTGGTTCTCGTAAGTGTCTCTGCGCTTCCGTCCTTACATACTGGAAACAAGAAACCTGGGAACTTGCCAAACCTGCATCATCCGATCACCTCAGCGGAACATGTCCTTTCTAACGCGAAAAATAGTCTATTCAGCGGTTCCTTCCCCCTCTTGGGCACACTTGCTACTGTGCAGTTTTCACCTCTGTGAAAAGATGTTTACTCCAGACATTCGAACCCGTCTTCTCGACAGCCAGGAGGACACGAGAGGTTGCCAACTGAACCACCCCCGGGTACCCTGCGTGCTTCTCGCCAAACTTACGGCTTCCCGCCTTATTGCGGATTGTTTCTAGATCATACACTTTGTACTAATAACAATGCCTTGAACGGATGTAGCTGACCCTTCTTGGTAGGGTTGCGCGACAGAGGCCCTCGCACGCTTCGGCGCTCGCCATCAAAATTACTGCGGGCTCAGCCCCTTGAAAGAAATCCCATCGACCTGATCGAACCGACCCCCCAAGCGTTCACTCAAGCAAGGCTCGTCTAAAGGGTATCATCCCACACACCTTCGTCGCAGCATGCTGTGAGCAGCCAAGACGGAAGACCCATTTGTCGCAGCCTTGCTCAAAACTTTGGAGCCGCCCAACCGGTTTAAAAACGGAAGGCATTCCACTTATGATCGACTACGAGTGCACAGCAGTAATACACTACGGGCACAGACGCCATTTCACACATGTGCGTACTGTCGCCGCACCACGTTCAACATGATCCTCCAAATGCATGCAGCCAAAGCACACAGAGATGCGGGTGTTTTGGTGCTTGGTGAATCTGAGTGTGGCGATGCAACCCTAAGGCCAACACAAGAGGCCGACAACCATGCTGCCGCTGTCATTGGCACCCGCTTGAAGTCATCAGAGCGAGCTTCGACGAGGGGGAAACAACTGGACGGAAGGATTTTTGTGCGAAACCGGGTACCGTGTCGCTTGCGGCTTAAACCTTTCAGAGACGGAATGTGCGACTGATGGTGACAACCCAACCGAGCGTGACTAAGGTGCTTCAAGCAGAAAAAAAACGGCATCCATCGAGAGTACAGCCCTCGCCTGCTACGAGTACCGCCATCTTCCAAGGCATAAATTTATCGTGTCAACATCTTCCCCCCGTTTGAAGGAAGACAAGGAAGAGATGGTTCCGACAAGTAGGCCGTGGACGAAACGCAAGAGTCAGCAAGTGGCCATCAGCCGCAACGACGACTGACAAAAGGCCGCGAGTCATCGGAGCCTTGGCGGGCCTGAAAATGAGAAAAACGAGAGAGAAAAAAGTCTCGAAAAACTACCTCTTGTCACTAAGGAAACACCAGAGACTACACAGAGGTGGACAGCCCCCCATCACCTCATCAATACCGCGCTCTCGCCTATTGTCACCCCATCGCCGACACCGCCTGCATGGCTTTTCTAGTAAAGTACCGTACGTCGCGGTCCGCGTCGTCCACCAGGCTGTCCAGTGCTGGTCTCACCTGGGCCTCTACGGCGTCATTCTGCTCGCGAAGTGGGCAACGGCCAGTCGAGCAAAAAAGACAAGTCATCAAACAATTAACAAAAGCGCGTCCGGTGTGGGGTTATTTAGCGAGACATTGCTACAGAGTAGAGCAGAGCACCGGCTGCAGACAAACAAGTACGCGTACGACGACAGCAGTGGAGCAAGAGTCGCCAAACGCAACATGATTTACTTTTTTGTGTAGCCTTCCAAGTTAGGGACAGATGCATCGACCTTGGCACACCTCGAGACGCGGAGCCATCTTCTCCAGCGTCTTGGACACGTTGAAGCGAATGTTTGGCACGGGGTCTGAGGCCATTCGCAGCACCAGCGGGAGCACCTCCTGATTTTCCCCGTTCAGAACAGCAGCGATCAGGGACGGAAGGGAATAAATAGGAGGGGTCCATGTTCAGTGCCGGTGAACAGTGCCGATGGGGCCCGGTATGGTGCCGATGTTTTCCGCGGGCACAAACTCAAGCCATTGTCAGTACTTGGAATAGTGCCGGTCTGGTGCAAGTGCACGGGAATTTTCTGGGCGCATGCCGGCACCCACTGAATTTTATCCGCCGAAAAGGATTTAAAAATGGCAAGGGGTGTGCCAGGTGAGGTAAGAAGGGGGAGAGGGGACCCTTATCGACTGCCGCTTGTCTTCTCGAAATGGTCGTTCGGCCATTGAGTGCGCGTACTTCAGAGACGGAGTGATAGCAACACCGTCAACAGCCGGGCGATCTTGTTCCTGCCGTATGCCACACCGCCACCTCTTGCTTAGCTCATCTCCTACCCTTTCCTACGCACACACTGGCATCGTGCCCACCACATACAGCTATCGCCCCCCTGCGTTTTCGTCTCGTGGAAATATAAACATGTCGTATAACCATGTCACCGCAGCCATGTGAATCATGTTGCGTCCATCTCGAAGGCGTCCCTGTTTCCTCGTAGATTTAGATTCTAGTGAATTCTGCCGCATGTGTCTGCTTTCGTATCTCCTTCCTCTGTCCTTCTGTGACAAATTCCTCGTTCATATCAGGTCCGAGTCCTTTCTTCGGAGCATTAACACATGCTCTTTTCGCTTAGTCCCTTGCCCATGGCGCCATCTACACCCGGCCTTATCGTTGTCTCCTGGCAATGTCCAGCCTGAATCACGTCCCACGAGACCCAAATTTCGTGGCGTCACGCGTACCCTTGTTAATACAATACCCTTTGCTTCATGTTTTCCTTGCTGCACCAGATCGTCTCGTCCACAATTGTACCGTTCTTACCGTTCTTGCCGTTCTCGGTGCATCTTAGGGCATATCAACGAAGATTGAGGGGAGCACACACGCTCCCCTATCTTATCTTATCTTATCTGTGTGCAACATCATCCCAGCACAACAAAACAGCCGTCGGACATGGGTCACAAATCGGATCATGTGCCGTCCCTCAGAAATGTCTCACACTCCCTTTTAACAAACTGCCCGCCCGACCATACCCACTTGAAGCTCACTCAAGACAAAAGAGATTAACCGAACGGGGGGTGAAAGCCATCCCGACAGATTATTCATCATCATACACACCTTGCTGAGCATCTCGACGTCGAGCGATTCGGTGAGGACTTGTATCGCGTACAGGGCCGTCATGCGATGAAGGTAACTGCTGTGGATGTGCATCTGTACCACCTGTTCGGGATAGTGTTTTTCGTCCATGCAGAGGCCGACACCGACACCGAAGGCAGCAGAACGTCAGTTGGTCAAACGCAAAAACGAACTGCTGTCGGCGGGACACGTAGGCGAGGGAAGCGATGCATATCTCAGGATATACGATCCCGCATCCCGTCAAACGTGCTCCCAAACAGAAACGTGCTCCCAAACAGAAACGCGCAAAATAGGAAGGGACAGCTCGGGGAAAAACCCTCACTCTCTCCGTCACGCAGACGTTGCAGTGTTGGCAGAAAAACAATGAAAAGAAAACATGCGTTGCTGGTTGAAAGTGGCACGCAGGTCACCTTCGGCAAAATGTGATCTCGCGCCCACTGCGTCCCGAAGTGATCTGTGAGTCGTTTGAGGTTGTCCGTGGCCGCTACCCTAATGCTGAACACGTTGTCCCCCAACCAGGCCAGGCAAATGTCGCACAGCTGCCGGCAGATTGGTGTCGATGGGGGGAGGGAGGAAACAGGGGTGCAATTGTTACCAACGTGTTGATAAAAACAAGAACGAGAGTGATGTCCAAAACACTCGGCACACGAAATAAAAAGCCACCTGTCTGTCCTGTCGAGCCTGTTTCCCACAGGAGAGATATCGCTACTTACTGCTCGCGGAACCGTACAAGTACAAGTTGGTCATCATACAACGCCATGAGTTCATTGCTACTCTATCCCAGGCCCTTGTCGGTGAAAGAAATGAAAAACACCCCCCGACGGTGTGCGCATATACTGGTTGTAGAAAAAGAACGATTCCCCACGTACGTACACACCTTATCGTTGAAGAATTGTGCCCCCTGCCACATTCCGGTTTGGGGGAAGAGGGCGTTTGTTCAGGTTCAACACCGCCCGGTTGGCGGACCGGCCGGCGATCACACCAACGGCCACAGCCACGATACGTTCGAGGGGGGCAACGGGAGTACGTGAGTGGTCGAGTGAGCGAGCAAGGCAGCCGGGAAAATGCCCACGAAGAGATAAAGACACTGGTACCGGGAATACTGGCCAAACAAAAAAGGCTCACGAATATGGTAGTAGGAATCAATAGGTGCCGCTGACCCCGCGGAAGGCAGATCGGCGAGTACACACGCCAGGGCGAGAAGGAACAAGCAGCAGGGTCGGCCAGATGCAAAAGCAAAGGGGCCCGTAAAACAGGCCGGAAAAACAGGCCGTACCCGTTTTGCCCCTGTGTTAACTTTTTCATTTCCCTGACCATGCTCTCGCACAACCTTTGCCGGCCTGTGCAAAAAGATGTTCTGACGATCCCCAACACTCCGTGGCTCACCAGCTGGATGGCAAGAACCGGCGTGTGCTCGATGATGGCGAGCCTCACCCGCCACTTCTTGTCTTCCGCCAGGTCAACAATCGCTGGCAACAGCGACGCGCTCAACAGCTGGACGCCGATCACGCCGTTCACCGCTTGCAAACCCGAGATGATGTTCAGCCGAACCTGTTCCGAAAAACAGGGTGGTTTCGGTCGGTCGACCGACAGCGACGTACGTGAACCATGCATGGTGGTACGAGACACAGGGGCAAAAATATATATTTAAAGGGGGGGGGTCGCCGCCCTTACCGTCTCACAGCAACGGTCCGAGACAACGCACTGGAGGAAGAAACTGCCCGCATAATAAATAAGAAAGAGCGACAAGACCACGACCGCCCAAGAAAAATTTCCCCGCCGAGACCAAACCACCACATGCGCCCGTAAACCACGTGGTCCAGCCACCGCATCAACTACCACACGATTACATGTATCGTACGTATCCCCCGACAACAATCACGCCTACCTCAGGGTTGGTATCCCGCAACAGGGTAAGTAGCATGGGCAGCAGGTGGTTGATTGTGTTCTCCCTGCCCAAGACCGGCGACATGTCGTTCATCACCGATGCCAGAGCCTGGCGGACGTGGTCGCTTGGGTCCATCACCAGCTGCTGCAAGCAAGGGAAAACCTGTTTTCCCCCCCCATGCGGGGGAATAAGAGGTTGGAGGTAAACAAAGATAGAGGCGTGCGGGGCGGTGGCGGCGGCAGTTCGTTTTGCGACGAGAGTCGTGGGTGAGCTTGTGGCTGTGTTTTGTGTGTACGGGTGTGTTTGTGTGGATACGTTCGACCGGGAACACGCAAAATTTGCCTGACTGCGCGGCGACCAAAATCATTTTCCTTTGAAGAAGCTCGGCTACCAGGGTTCTCATGTTTGATGGATCCATGTCTGGGTGCTCTTTCGGATGTGAGCTTGCGACACAGCGACGAAAAAAGGGAGCAGGGGCTTCTGGTTCACCTCGTCCTATAGTTCCCTCCCGGTCAGGAAGTGCTGATGACGCACTGCCTCAAGACGCTTGTCTTTGGTACAGGGTTCGTCACCCAGCCCCTTGCGTTGGGGGTCTGTGGACGTCACAAAAAAAAAAAAAAAAACTACAAGAACCCTCCCATCACAAGCCCTTCGAACAACAACAGCAAAAGCACCAGCGGCCACACCAATTGCACCGCCGCTGCGCCGTCGACTTGCACCGCAGCAACGTCGACAACACCCGATGCGACGGCGGTCGGTGCTTGTTCCTCCGTCCTCGTCCTCACCTTTCCGAGAACACCGTCCACCTGCATCAGCTCCACTACCTTCGTCGCGTTTGCTGCGGCCACCGTTCGTACCTGCCGACAACGCCAACGAAACGGCAACGCGTGTGCGATCAGCCACCAGCCATTCACTTGACAGCACCAACCGATGACCGCTCTCTACTCTTACCCCAAGTACAACGAAAGTGACCTTTAAACAGCGGTCAACCGGCACGCTGCTTAGACATTCGATGCTTTCACGGAACGGGACCAAGAATGCTTGCCTTCGGCTGATCGTATCTTTTGAATTTTTTTTTTCTGCTCGCCCTTGGGTCGACGCTTAGAGGTGACGCAAAATAAATACCAGAGAGGCAAACGCTGTTTCTTCTGTTCTCTACCGCCGTCCTCACCTCCGCCTCGCCGTCCTGAAGCAGGCTCTCGTACGCGCCACAGAGCGTCTCGTTCGCGACCTCCCCGCCCAGTGCCGCACACAGATCGTGGAACTTATTTGCCGCGCTCCATCGTACCCTCCACGACCTTAAGAGATCAAGGTTAGGGCCCAGTGGGACAACGTATTGCAGTCGAAACAGAAACGAAGGGTGTTGGGGGGGTGGTTGGGGTGACCAAGCAATGCCGCCGAAGGGTGGAGGAAACGACCGGAGTATACCATCTCAGCAGTGGAGTTCCGCTGACGGGCTTCTGTTTAGAGAAAGTTCAGGGTGATTGCGGGTTCGAAAACACCCACCTAGAGCCGAAAAATTTCGCTGGGGCGAAGCGCATATCGACGCACACGCACGTCCACCCCGAGGTACTGCAGTACCCATGAAACGCTGCTTTCGTCCCACCCTCCATGTGTGCCTGTACGTACACCCATCACACACGGAACGCCTCCGGTGTCCTGTGTACCTGTACACCCATCACACACGGAACGCCTTCGGTGTACACACACACACACACACATCACATCACGCCGCCGAAATCCCCCTCACTTGTCCCTCGTTGTGTCCAGGACAACGGGGAGCACGTGCTCCTTCTGCCCCTCGGCGGGGAGAACCCGAGCAAGCGCCGAGCAGTTGTCCACGGTCTGTAGCCGAACAGAATCCTGCTCGTCTTCGGCCAACCCTGGGCGTTTCCACAAAACACGCGCGAAACCCAGCGTCAGCGACACAAGTAGCTCGCAGCAGCAGCAAGGGCCAGGTAGCTTACCAACATTTTGGAGGATTCTCGGAAGAGCTTGCACTGTCAAGCCCGTGTCACCCCAAGCACAAGAGGCGGACAAAACAGCGGCGTGTGCATAAACTCGCGCTGGGCGCGTTGGTTTTTGACAAAGGGGTCTCACGCGAATACCTTCGCGAGCCTCTCGACACATTTAGAAGCCAGCTGGCCGAAGTTTGCGGCACCACACCGCAGCGGAGACACGTCCCGCACAAACGAACAAGACAGGGTGCGGTGTATCCAACAACATGTTTGTGGTACTGCTGTATTTACATAGTACCCTAACTCCACACTACCACTACCGCTGAGGGCGGCAGCCCCTCGAAGACGATGGCGGCTCTGCGGTAGTGGAAAGTAAGGGTATACTTATGTTGTCCCAGGAACGGCCGATGAAGAGAAAGCCATCATGTATTCTTGCCCCACAAAGGCAAGCCCCACAAGCAAGCTGGTCACAAAGGACACCCGGAAAGAAGAAGCACACCTGCGTGCGCTCTCTCGGGAGGGGGGCTACAGTTGGACCCAACCGCACACATACCCCCCACACAGATAATGCCCAGATCGGGTGTCGTACCCCAAGTACCACAAAAAATACAGCAGGGGCTTGGGTCGGTGGAGGGTAGACAAGACCCCCCTTTGTTTGTTCATTGATCGACAGGACGGAAACTGCATGAAGTCGGCCGCTTCTCACGAAACAGCCATGTAACCGTCTTCTCACCGGTGAAGAGCTCGAGAAGGTCCTTCGTAACGAGCTCCGTCTCAACTTCCTTCGCAAGCAGACCCAGGTTGCGCGCGGCCACCCTGCGGCGTCCGGTGCGGTTGACGGCGTTGCAGGCGCGGGGGGCACAACGGTCGGAGGGAGGGTGAGCCGCAAGCACTGTGGGCAAGCGGAAATGGTGGGCTGCTTTGCAACTGTCGGTAGAAAATAAACGGAATGGTGCATGTGGGCGGCAGTACACAAAAAAAAAACAAGAATACGAGAGATCGACAAACTGCCACGGCGTGCACTGCACCTCTGGATCAAACATTGTGTGGCCCTGGCAGGCTGTGCCAACGAAGGTGCTCAGCCATCAGCCCAGTACATAGTACTCAGACGCACACACCACGCACCACATGCTATATCTTCGTGGGACCATGAGCTTTGAGTCACCGTTCCAATACGCACCCTCGCTCAATAAACACACACACACACGCATAAAAAATCAGGCTGAAACAACTTTTGGGTTGATTTTCCAAGTTGTTGGTGCGTTCGCGGAATCGTTCCACGCGCCCCAAGCACCGCTCCGAGCTAGAAAAGGTCATCAGGCGGAGGGCACTCAACCCCCTCCAACGCTGCAGCGGTGTGCAATTTTGCACTTGCTACCACATGAGGACAAAGCTGGGGCAATTCCACAACCCTCCTCAAAGCACCAGGCTACTACAGACAATACTGCTCGCTAACATCCCAACCAACACGGCTCCCCAAGAGCAGACTGCCGTTCAAAGTCTGTCGAGCCAACCGGTGCGCCCCTCGTGTCAACCACCACCACAACCACCCCCCCCCCTTTTGGTTGATCGATGCCATGTCCCTCCCTTGCGTCCCCGTAACCACACCTTCGGACCATGGGAGTGTCGTCCGTGCAGAGCTTCTTGAACATCTGCCGCACCTCCGCCCGCGCCGCCGCTCCCGCCCCGCCCCTCGCCGCCGCGTCCTCCTCCGGCGGCGCCGACGCGGCAGGCGCCGTGGGCGGCAGCAGCTGCAGCAGTAGCGCGTAGGTCGGCGGCGCGAGGCAGCACGCCGACATGCGGGCCGTGAACCACTCCTTGAGCGTGAGCCTGGAGAGGAGGGGTACCATGTGGTCCGTCAGCTGCTCCGGCGACAGGCAGCGAGCCACCGTCTGGATCGACTCCAACGCTTTTTCTCGGACCTTGGGATTTTCAGAGACAAGAGACAGAAAGAACCGATTGCGCAAAAGTTACGGTATTATAGTAGTCGTGTGTCGGGGAAAGCGAAAACGAGGGAACACTGCTCTCGTCGGAGAATGCCAGAAGACGACGACGGCGGAGTGTTTCCAACGACAACGCATGCGCGGCCACTACATCCCATCACAGCAGTGGCAGGCCCATAAAATAGCCGGTGGTTAGCAGGAGGCTGCCGGCAGGCCGCCTTCATGAGTTGGATGTGCGACACCAGAGCTACAGTAGCTGTACCTCCACGGCCTCTAGGCTAGCGTGGTAAAAGCGAACACGCGAACACCGAGCGAGCTGGCGAAAAAATGACAAAAAAAAACAGCCGATGTATACTCAGGAGACCCCCCCCCCGGCTTGAACGGCATTGCCCACAACCCGTGCATGAAAAACGCTCGAAATCTCACCCAAAACGAGCGTTGGTCTACCGATGAACGTGTACACTGACCAGCGGCATACGGTGACGAACAGTGGGCGGGCAGGGTACGGAAGGTACGGAAGACAACCGCGGGCGCGGTCTACGAAACGATGAGAGCACAGCACCCTCTGTGAATGCATCGAAAATGGCGTCGATTACTACAATAAAAAAAAAAACATCAAAATACAAGTGCACGCAGTAGATACTATACAACTGTTGCCATATTGGACGATGAAGAAAACAAAAGAACAAATCGGGTCAAACAGGGGCGGAGACTCCGGGCGATTGACTCACCGTGCTTTCCTCCACAGACGCCAGCTGCTCCAAGGGCACCAAGAGCTCATGCGCGTGCTGCTTTCCTCCTATATGCGCAGTGAGCTTCCCGACTTGCTCCGCCATGCAGAGCAACACCTTCGGGGAAGGGAGCGTCGTGGGGTTGCTAAATGGAACGTGGGGCATTTGAGAGTTTGAGATATTGGCTGTATAGAGCAGGGTCGCCGCAATTTCGAACATTGGACGGCAGGAGGGAGCAGTCTTTAGAATGCGGCCGTTCCCGGCTGCTAGGGCGGGGCGGGGGGGGCGTCCGCCGCCAGAAATAGACAGTGCTGAGATCCTGGCAGAACAAAAAAAAAAGCAGCATGATATTGACAACCGCCATAGGCATCGACCGTGAGGCAGAGAGCAATCGTACAAGCACGCGTGCTCCTTCTTTCGAGTTAATATTATTATTGCCAGGGGTACAGTACTCCGGGATATACGTTTACGCAACACCCGGAAAGACACGGAGGAGCAAGCTAGGCAGCAAATGACCAGTGGAATCGTTGTTCTGGCAAACAAGGTGGTGGGCCTAGACGCATGACGCTAGACTCGGCGTAATCCAAGCCCCTGCTCGTGGTTCTGTGGAAGCCCTACACTACTCCTGACCCATCGGTCTGTAGACAGTCAGGCCTCTGTACAAGTACCCAGGAATGGGAGTCTGGATATTTCATTGAAGGCCCGCTTGAGGCGGTCCACCCGGCCACATTCTTCCAAAAACCTCCCCAAAACAGCTTTTGCCGTGTTGGCACGACACCAATCAGAGGTGCCCACGCCGTGAACGCTTCAACTCGCCAAGGTCAGACATTGCACCGGTCAACGAGGGGAAAAGATCCGAAACTATTGTTGAGCTCAAATCCAGCCGAAACAGAGCCCTGACTCAACCTGCGCGACACTATGCAGGGAGAGTCGCCACGTTTGAAAAAACACCCACACGGCTCGTCTCTCAAGACCCACGGAACACATACACAAACAGCTGCTGCAAAGAGCTCTAACGGGGGGCCCTTACACCACATCGAGACAGCACGTCCGCGAACTTACCTCGTCCTCGTCGTCCGTGGAATCGTTCACGAACGGGACCAGTTCCGCCCGCACGCGGTCCGGCCCCAGGGCGTCGGCGATCGCCGGCAGGCTCCGCGTGGCCGTCACCCTGAGGTTGATGTCCTCGGCCTTCAGGTGCTCGATCAGCATCGCGATCTAGTTTTCCATTCGCCACCCCAAGAGGAATATGAAACAGCAGTGCATGGTTCAAGAAAATAGTCGGGCAGGGTGTTGTAAGCAGGAGGGCCGGGGTGTGGAGAAGTGTAAGAAAGCTCTTCGCAGGGGTGCATCGAGGCAGAACCGCCGCCGTTCAATGGTAGTCTGGGTTTTGCTCGCTACTCCCGAGCCCCGGCCAATCTCAGATCGATATCCGCTTGACTGCAGGTCGTTAGCAGAAGCTTGCACCACTATTATTGCCGTGGATGGCCCGCAATTCAGGAATTGGCGCTCATCGCGGCGAGCAGCTGTGACGAATGTTTCCGTTTGGATCTACAGAGTTGAGGAGTTTTGGGGTCGCCGCGGGCAGCCTTCGATATCACAGCCCCATTGGAGCAGATTTGAGCGTGACAAACGCGCACATCGCCCTTATATACAATTCCTCCCAAGAGCCGGAAGGTCGCCATTCTTATTCTTCGGCCCTAGGATCATCTTGGGAACATCTCACAGACTGCACTTCAAGTAGGGCGGCTTCTGCTGCCCTGGCCTGCGCCCGGTACATCCCTGCCCCTCTCGGGTGCACCCCGAATTTTTGCTTGCGTCCCCGAACAAGGCGTTTTGCCGTCAGACCGTCTACTGCTGCTGTTGCTGTAACTACTGTACAAGTCTTTGCCGTGGCCGTCGTTGCGAGGACGCATCAGTGCAGTTTGAGGGTGCTCTTCGGTCCGTTTCTGTGTGTAACAGGGACAAGTTGCCATGAGGGCTCTCACACGCAGCACCAGCAGCAGTGTGGTGTGCGCAGCAAATCAATTGCGCGCTTTTGCAGAGGTGTCTTGCGCGTGATGGCAGCACGGAGCGAAGGACCGCTTTTGGCGCTGTTGTTTGAGCCCCCGGAGTATCGACAAGGGTAGCATACATGAACCGCCACAGGATAGAGCGAGCGCGAGGCTTGCCCTTGCAGTAAATAGTCGGTACACTGCGTGTACCGTATGCAATATTTAGCTGTGATGATGGTGTGAGCATGACCTCGCCTATCGTCGCCTACCGAACCAATCCTGAAAGATGCCCAAAACTCTAATAGTTAACCATATATCACCAAAAAGAAGAGGGCTCGAGCTGCAGTGAGCAGCTGCAGCAGCTGCTTCGCTCACCTGGTAGTAGTCCCCGTCGTTGTCGGCTGGCAACACCGTTGTCTGCTGCTGCTGCTGCTGCTGCTGCTGCTGCTGGGATGATGTTGAGGCCGCCGCCACCTCCACTTCCATGGCCGACATATTTCTCTTATAGGCCGCAAACAACGAGGATGTCCACGTGTGTGTGTGTGAGAGAGAGGGGGGTCCAACGCAGAAGTACGGCGAATCCAAGCTTGGCCACAAAGCGGGAGCAGAGGGCTGGTCGCCAGGCACGAACAGTTGCTACAGTACAGCAGCGGCAATCTCCCTCGCAACACAGCAGCTTGTTAGTTCGCCGATCTCCCTGTCTGCGGCGCCCCCTCGTCCTCGCTCGCGAGCTATAGCTGAATCGTAACGATAGTCAGCAGGAACGGCAACAAACGTGTGTTGCTCCTTTGCTCCACTGACAAAAAAAAAATGCAGTCAGCCTGTGCTCGAGTGGACTCTCTGTCTCTCTCAGTCTGTCTCTGGCGCCGATCGCTGGTAGACGGGTAGGGAGAAGGCGGGGTGTTACAGTAGTTTGTGGTACGAATCACGGCACCCCCAATTTGAAACCGCCGAATTAAAGGTTGAACGGATGGCTGCAGGATGTGTGTGCCGCGACGTCGACACCACGTATGTATAAACGTAACGGCAGTACAACACAGTAGTGCGCGCAAGATTTACTCAAAATATGTATTTTCTTCACCTTATTACCCGCCGCCATATCAGTGACAAACTTTTCCCACAACTACAGCAATACACATGGTGCGTGGCCGGGCTGATGACGTGAAATAATCGAGATCGTTCCAAAGGAAGAACGCCGCTTGTCAGACTTCACCTCCGTACCGTACAATAGACACCTGAGCCGTAACATGGAAACAATACTTGGAGGGCAAAATGTTTCGGCAGCCACGGCGGGAATACTATCCGATAGATCTGCCGAAGGCATAGCTCCTGGATCCTCTGTTGGGTGGCTGGCTATCGCCAGGCCAGCGACGCTAGAACTGTGGCTGGAATCCGAGACCAGCGGCGGCAGAAGTCGGGACCTGAATGTGGCGAACGAGACCGAGCTCGACGATCGTGTTTTGGCTCTCGCAGCCTGTCCTCGACGTAAGTCGTGCGTTGAAAAGTGGAATCACGTATCTTTTAAAAATGATGATTCTCGGCAGAATTTCTAAGTGTTCGTTGCTTCGCCAATTACAGTAGTCTATCAACAGATGAACCTTGCGGGAATCTTTTTGCCTCCGATAGTCTACAGCTGCGTGATCTACAGATAGACTAGGCCTAGTCGTTCTACACACGGGACTGCTGTAGGGTTAGTGGGTACGGCATCCATTTCGCTGTATGTTGCTTCGCCCGCCTTCTGCACTCATGACCTCTCATAAAAAGTGCCACAGATGGCCCGCCACTCGAGAACCTTGTCTGGTCCACACTTGCAACTACAGTAGTCTATTCCTCTCCCTTGGAACACTCTCTGAATGAAGTATGTGTTTTGGAAAGAAACAACAACAACGGTCGTATGCATAGATGCTTGGACTCTTGGCGTGACGGACTATGTAGACTATGCCGCTGCAATGTGGCCCTTCAATACCACCTGCTCATGTTGACTATGGACGACGATGAATACTATTTTATTGTGCTACGTACGCATGCTGCCAGAATGTTTCCCTTGTATCCCATCCGCCTGCCCAAAGTCTGTCTCGCATCACAAAACCAAGTCTGTGTGTACGCTATCCACACCCCGTTACCCCTGAACCCTTTTCCATTGACTAAGCAAATGGCGGAGGAGATGACCTGCTAGTCGTCACGGTGACGCTTGCCTGGGAGCTTTTTCGCTTGAATCCGCGACATCGTTTTCGAGAGCTACCAAAAGGAAGGGCAGATGCGTGTGTTGAGCTGTCGGTGCTAGCATCCGGATTTCTCGGGCCTAGTCCTCCTCGAGACGTCCATCGCGCCAGCAGGACAACCTCGCCAGATGAGGTTCTGCGACTGACTGTTCGAGGGCCCGGCCACTACAAGGTCTGCACCCACAATAAGTATCAAAAAGCGGAGTTATCAGGTTGTGCTCCATGCTCTTGGTGTGAACACGCGCATGCAGTATTCTTCCAGGACGGGGTTTCATAGCCATCTAGCACCGCGGATGTCAATAATTGTGTGTCTCGACCGAAACGTGCAAGGCTATGCCACGATTCAGTACAACCGCAACATGTCCGGACCAGGCCGTAGTTGCTTCGAAACGCTTTCCCTTGGACTCCTGCCTTGGCACGAATGGGTTCCTGCCCAAAAACCTTAAAATCGACCTTTCAGGCCGCTTGACATCATGCGCAGGGTCGTGATTCAGGTCAAGAAAGCATGAGGAAGATTGGCGCGAAAACGTTGGTCGCATGTGTTTGCGAAGGCGCAATAATACTTCTGGTCTTTTCCCAAGATACACCAGGCCACAGGGCGATGACAACATCGAGCGCGACGGTCCCGCTGATACCAGAAAACGTTCGTGAAAGCTCAGCCAACATCTCGACAAATTCGGACGGCCAACCAAGAGGGAAACATCGACAAAGCCCTCGGGATCTTGCGCTTTCGAAGAAACCGCGCATGCCTCCACCCACGCTGTCTGGTTTGTCAACGGTGTTAGATCTCGCGATTCTGTCCGGAGGGGGGTCTGAAGAATCGGAGACGACGAGGAAAGTTTACTCTTCTGCGGTTGTTGCCTTGTTGCTGACAAACGAAGCCAAAGGAGGCGGTGGCAGTGCTGATGGTGTTGGTAATTGTGGAAATGGATTCAACGATGCACAAGAGACGTTCTTGCGGACATGGCGCTGGGTCCTAAGCGATGGCGGGGAAGGCGTTTTGGGGCCCGGCCGTTGGTAAGTGCCCGGCTGTCGAAGACACCAGCACGACTTTGCTGACATCCGCCATTCTGAATGTCAAGCGACTTCAATCCTTAGAAAGACACGTGTGTGCACCTTCAGGCAGAACGCGGAACGCCTACACCAGGTCGGCATGATGCCAAATTATGTGTTGCACGCATCCCTACTGCCAAAGTTGGCGCAGCGTATGCGCCACGGCAAACAAGAAGCTTGAGAGATCTTCGAGCACATCGTACCCATTACGCTCGCCTTCACTCTGAACTAGCATGTTGTACTTTGTGCTTGTTTCGCGCGCCTTCGTATTCAAACATTATATTAAAGGGGTCTGGCCAACCTGCACCCATCCACGTGCATCACCGCTCTCGCGAGGGGCGGAATACTTTGTGTGGACCCTGATGGGGTCAACGTCTTCAGCGAAGACGGAGTCCCCTTGCTCGACGTGAACCGGAGTAACCTTGGGGGAAATTTCGTTCACTGTCCCTTGGATCGTAATGTCCACCCCGTGGTGCTCACGCCATTTGGCAGCATTCGACGAGGTGACCCGAACATTCGATGGCATTATTCCATGAACGGTCAGTTGTAGGATTTTGATATGGTCGTGCTTTGTGTGTGTTGAACCTAGTGTTTGCGGTAGGTTGCTATGAAAAAAGGCAAATACCGGCTTGGTATTCTGCACGCGTCTGGGTATTCTCCAGATGAACCATGCCATCGACTGCCACTACCAGTCGACACACGAATGACAGAACATAATTCTTGTTGTGGCGCTAGTGCGATGAAGCATCTATTTCTTTCAGCATCGATTTCTTACAGTAGTTCGGTTATTGCCCCGCAGGTGGTACGATCGGCAGCGAAGAATTCCTCCTCGCAGACATGGACGGAATCCTTCACCTTGTGACAGTCGATGCCGGACACCCGAAAGACGCCTTCAGAGGTAGCACCCGCCATGCGGAACAGAGCACAACTAGTGGGCACGGCTCGTGGCGAGGCGACCATGCCCGAATCGAACGTGTCGAGCTGAAAACAAGGTATGACAAACCTCATCACGCCCGGCCCCACCTGTTCCATCGGTTGCTTGCACTAGCGACATATAAACCATAACCAAGCATGACATTTTTTGTTGACTTCTGGCTTGCTGCGTGCATCTAAGGGCAACCACGCCAGTCGATCAAGTCAAGCCGGGTGACCACGGTTTGCCCCCGATGCGGATACCCTTTTTCGAGATGCCCATCGACCTCACCAATGAACACGCACCTATTCACAGATGACTCCGGTTCCCCACCTTGATGCCGTGCATGATGTCACACCTTTGGCGTGTCAAGCGCCGTGTCGTCTATCTGCCCTTAAAACTTCGATGCTTCCATCGTTACCACCGCATGTGTTCGCGGGCCCAAGCTCCGAATTGGTACCTTGCCACCTCCGTCATCAACGAATCGAATTCCTGCTATCTGTGGGATCTGAGGGACTCGTTTTCGCCTCGATGAGGTCGTCACCTTTCCCGACAATAGTCCGGATGCCGTGCCCATCTGGTGATCTTCCTTCCGGGG